TCAGACCTTAACCAGTCTTTATGTTTGTGTTTCTTCCAACAGATTTTTGGAGTAGTGCACACCAGCAGCATCATCACCTTCTACAACTAGGGATTTTTCAATTGCGTTTCAGGTAAGAATTTAGCAATTGCCAATGAATCAAATTGGTAACTTATTTTTTTATTTGTTTTTGGCTTACACCATCTTGTAATGATATAATTATTAATACACCATGGCTCACACTAATCACGGATTCGGTACTTATCTCCAAGCGTTTCCGCTCGGATGACTATGATGAGGGACTTCGGTCTAGCCACTTAAACGTATAATTATTTAATAATATAACAGATAGAATTTAGATGTGTAAGTTTTAAATGGTAACGAAAATATAGTTTGTAATAAAATTCCCGTCAAAGTTAAGTTATTTAAAAACTTAGTACGCATATATACTTCAGAACTTAAGGAAAAAAATACAAATAAAATTCCATACTTGATATGTTATTTTTATTAGAAGTTAAATATAATTAAATAAAGAGAACAGTTTAATTTTATTTGTTTTAATAAGAATAAATGAAGGGCGGAAAATAGTTTTTATTTTTTTTTTTAATTTTAACCTACCTCTTATGTATGTGGTACGTCTACGTGGCCTTTTAAGTTTTATATATAATAATTTTGAGGTAGAAAAATAAAACTGAATAATTATTATAACGCTAGCTTAGAGTGAAAAGTTGCTAAGTCCAATTTTTATGAAAACTCATATTTTGATATAGGAGGCTAGAGAAATTGAATACGCATAAGCAATAAACGGAAAATTTGCTAAGTCCAAAAGAAGCACCGCAAATCCGATAAGGCCAAAATAATACGACATCTTTTAATAAATATCAAACCTTCTAATTCTTATGGAGTTTTGCTTTGCTTTAAACGCGCGAAATGTTTGATTCAAAGTCTTGCGAAGTAGTTAAAGAAAATGGCTATAGAAAGATTTTTTCCTCTCCTGTAAAATTTTTAAAATGGGACTTAGCAACTTTTCTTTCTAAGCTAGCGATAATCATTATTTTTGATGGAAATAAAAATAGTAATAATAATTTCTTTTGAGTGGAAACATAAATCTATTATTATACTAGTTTACACCAAAAATGTTTTATGGATGCCACTGATCTAAATTAGTTTACTTATAATGACTACGGTCCCGGTTTAAACTTAATACGTCCAGTTTTAAACTTAATTATTTGTTCATAATGTAGACAATGAACAGAATATCCTGCGCCTTGTGCCATTCAACGTGGGCAAGTACGAAGCTGAGATTTTTTAGAGTCCCTAAGGAAGAAATAAAAAAGAAAAAATGGATTGAGGCGTGTGGTGTAGAACTGCAGCCAAATGCAAGAGTTTGTCAGCTTCATTTCGAAGATGAAGACTACGAGATAGATGATTATGGTCAACGTAAGCGTTTATCAGGAGTAGCAGTTCCAATGAAGGTGGAATATTTAAAAAGTTGGGATGAGCCAGGTGGCAAATTTAAGAACTCGTCCACTCAAACAGAGTACGTTTTATGTATAACATTTGATACGTATGTATGTGCGAATAAAACTTTTATGTAACAGAACCGTCATCGAAAGCAGTTTCCAGCGGGAAAACGTCGCCTTGAAAAAGCAAGTTGAAAAATTGTTGGTTGAGGCAGCTAAAATGAAGGCGGAAATCGAGGAGCTTAGGGCGATGCGGACCAGTTTCCGTTCTGTTTTTACCCTGAATCAAGTGCGAAAACTAGAAACTCCCAGTAGACAAATGCGGTGGAAATATGAGGACATAGCGTGGGCATTGCCATTGAATGCAGCGGGCCCAAGGGCATATACTCATTTATACCGGAAAGGATTTCCTCTGCCTTCGGAGTCTACATTGGCGAGGTGGCTGCAAAAGCTAAAGTTCGACGACGGAATTCTACACTTCGTTATAGACGCAATGGAGGCCGTGAATGAAATATAATTGGTAGAGAGGCTTTGTGTTTTGGTATTTGATGAGATGAAGATTGCTTCGGCCTTTGAACATGATCCTCTCACGGATACTGTGAGATCGCCGAAGAAGTATGTTCAAATGGTGATAGCTAGGGACTTAAATGGTCCTGGAAGCAGCCCGTCTTCTATGCATTTGACTGCAAAATTACAAAAAGTATAATAGAAGAAATTATAGTTAATCTCTCTCGTGCTGGCTATCCCGTA